TAAGCAATTCTTAGACATCCTTGTACCCCGGAAGCTACAGTAATTGCAATTCATGTTTTGAGAGAATGGAAGGAAGAAATCAGGATGAAGAGAGGGGTGGAAAGGAACAGGAACATGGAATTGAAAAGGAAAAAAAGACAAAAATGCCAACAGGAAGGAAGGAAGGAAGGAAGGATGGATTTTATGGTACACCAGAAGCAACCAGGAGGAAACAAATCAGAACTCAGAGAAACTTAGATGGTAGGTGGAAAGGGTAAGACCAGTTGTCTGTTTTAATGTAGACTGGATATTGGATACTGGAGCTCACAAATTACAGGTACAAGTTTAATGAATCCATCAATAGGATTGTTTTATTACAGAGATTAGAAAAGCATATGTAAAACTGGCAGATTCCCTCTTTTTCATCTTATGCCCACTCTTCCCATCCATTTGTGATCTAAGAATAATCTATTTCTGGGCAGAGGAATGGTTGATGCCTGTGCATTTTGTAATGAACCACCTGAATTCACCTGCTTTTTCTAGGCACCAGGAATACCAACCAAACTACAATCCTGTTATCATTAGGAATCAGTTGATAAACTAAGATAGAACTTCTAAAATTAAGCTCCCCTTAGAATTTCCCAGAAGTGATTACCTAGATGTTTTATTCTCTTTTAAATATGAAATGAAACCCATTTTTAAAGAAAATTCTTAGCATTTGATGGTTTTATTTTAATTTCGCTTTATTTTATAATATTATTTTATTTGAAAGTTTATTTAATTGTTTCATTATCTTGAAAATACTTTTATTTTTTATTGTTTATTTTATTTTTGCATTGAATCATTTTAAGAATATATATTGGATAATGGGAGATAGACAATCAAATTCCAAGTGACTTTGATAAGCATCTAGTTTCAATTGCTACAATATAAAAAATGCCAAGACTCTAGAAAAGGGGCAGAAAACAAAGATGATTAGGGAACTGCAGGCTAAAACATGAAAAACAGTTGCAGAAATTGGGTATATCTAGATTAATGAAGAGAAGGGCTAGGGGTGATATGATATCAGTGTTCAAATATCTAATGGGCTGAGAAGACTGGTCAACTTATTCTCCAAAGCACCTGAAAGCAGGACAAGAAGCAATGGATGAAAACTAATCAAGGAGAGAACCATCTTAGAACTAAGGAGAAATTTCCTGGCAGAAAAATTAATGAATGGAACAACTTGCCTTCAGAAGTCATTAACTCTGTTATTCTGTTATCAGTTATACTCACAATCTCCATGCATATATATTGACCATAGCCATATTATATATGGCAAAAATGTAAAAATACCTGTAAATAGAAGTAGAATGACTATGGATGAAGAAAGAAAAGATAGTACCAATAGTAAAAGGTGCCTTGGGTGCAGTCCCAAACCATCTGGACCATCACCTGGACACCATAAGTATCAGCAAAATCAATTGCCAGTCAATTGTAAAAGGCAGCTTTACTTGAATAGCTGAAATCTTACAATGATACCTTTAACACTTTCAAATAACACCTGCTTATCCCAGGTCTTTGATAAGGACTGCAAAGATGGATAAAAATTAAATCCAGTCTAAACTTCTGTTTGGTTATGCAATCAACCATAATAATGTATTTAAATATTTTCAGCAATAGCATTTTCATTAAGGAAAAATGAGTGTAGCTGATTCAAGAAAAAATAATGAAATGACTTAATAAATATCAAAATTAGAACCAATTACATATTGTGTGTGGGAAGTTTATAAAGTTCTCCCAAACTATAATTTTCAATGGAAGAAAAGAGGCAAGAACAAATATGTGATGTAGCCTTATTTTCTCTTTCATTCCTTTTACCTTGTGTTCTCGGTTATAGGAATTGCAAGGTGGCTTTTGCAGTAATGACTAGATTATTGCAATGGCCAACTAAAGCAGTTATCCTTTTGGTGATTTTCCTGTGTAAAGTGTTTCCTGCTTTCCCTTGATGACTTACCAATTATAACAGTGTGTTTGTTTGTGTTGGTTTTCTACCTTGGTAGTGATTGGACACTTTTTACCATTTTCTTACCAACCTCTAAACTCAAAAAGAAATGTTAATAAATGGGACAGTTGAGTGAAGAAACTTCATAGAAATAGTAGTTTTCATTTGCTGTTCCTATTGCTACTCCCTCTTCCACAATATGTTTTAGTATTTCCATTTATTTTGTCATCCTATTACTAAGGTCAACAAGCCTGTGAAAAATTCATCCTAAACAGTTCTTAAAGAGCATCTAATCCCAATTCCATTTTAGTGACAGATACAAAGACGATAGATAGGTGATAAATGATAGATGATAGATAGATAGATTAATAGATAGAATGAATATCACCATCAAAAATTAAACATTGTACTGCAATAATAAATTATATCATATATTATTTGGAAATAAATCTTTTTCAGTTGAATTTTACTGGAATTATGTTTGCAAAACAATTCTCAGCAAGATTAAATTTTCCATATAACCGACTGTCCGTCGTTTTCTCTTGTATAAATAGGAGAAATAAGTATTTAATAAGAATACTTGTCTATAACAATGAATGTATGCTTTTTGAAACTCAAAAGTCACTGGTCCCAATCACACAACAGTTATAAAGCTTGCCGTTTTTACCAACACAATCATTTCTAACCATCTCTGTGGGGAAAAAAGGCTTTTAAAATTGAAATTAACCTAATTCCTGTACATACAAAATTCTTCTCATTTTCCACACATTAAGTATTCACTGAGTGCCTGTTCATATGTCTGGCTGATGAGTAAGAAATATTGAAACCCATACTTATAATAAAAATAAAATTTTGAGGCATGCCTCAAAATTTGACCCAGATAATGTATTTCTTACCTTAATATATAACCAATAATTCTATCTTCTTCCTTTTTTATATGGCATAGATATTGCTTCTTAATTTAAGGGCTTCCTTTTTCACACAATTTTGTCTGAAAGCCTGAGCCTTATATTACAACATACACTTAAAAATCCTACTTGGAACATCATTGACCTGTTTAATGCATTCAAACCTTATATGACTCCCTAGTTCCCACCCCAACCCAAGGTCAGGACACAACAGCAGCCTTGGAGAATGGTCATGCTTCCTTCATGTCAGTGAATACAAGGGTGTGACCAATTTAATAAAAATATACTTTATTAAGATAGGTTGGAATACAAATAAAGGTAAGCATGTTTTTAGAATAAGAATATCTTGAATTATATTCAGCATATAATTATAGCCTTTTAGCTATTATAGTTATTTAGAAACATTATTTAAAATTTTGAAAAATGAAAGTTTAATTGAAATATATATTTGGTAACTAAATCAATAACATGTAAGTAATCTTTTGTTATCTTTAAGATAGTTCTTTATGTGGGTTTATAGTTAAAATAAAATTATCAATATATTAGATGCAATAACCCTATTCTATTCCTTATTAAATGTACAGGAATTAAGGTTTTCAATGTCATTAACAAGTTCAGAAATGTGTTATTATCAAATAAACATAAAAACAAGATTTATAGAATGTGTTTTGTGAATTACATTAACATGAGGCATATAAGATTGCTGAATACAAAATATACTTCGAGATTTGCCTTAGGTCATAATGCTCTAAACACACCCACACTCACACCCACTACCATTTCTGTATAAAGAATAAAAATAACTAATAACTAATAATCTATTCATGTGCAGGATTTTTAGGATGCAATATACAGTCAGGTTTTGGAGACTTTATAATGTTTCAAATTTTAATTCTTCCTTGTTCTAAGTATTTTGCATACACTTTTGCAAGAGTTCAAAGTCATCTGCCTTTAATCTATTTGTTTAACGATTTCCAATGTTACTTTTAACTATGCATAAATTTTCACAAATAACAACTGTATCTGAAACTCTGCTTCAGAGAAATACTTCTCTATGGCAGTGTTTTTCAACCTTTTTTGTGCAAAGGCACACTTTTTTCATAAAAAAAATCACGAGGCACACCACCATTAGAAAATGTTAAAAAAATTTAANGATGATGAGGGAGCTGGAACCGGTTCTAAACAGCACTGTAGATTTGTGGAAATCTACAGTGCTTGTATAGAAATCTTCTATACAAGAGGTTAGAACTGGCAGGCAACCACCCCTGATGTATAACTATCATTCCTATCTAAGTTGTTTCAAATATCCATAATAACTATTGGCTTGTTTTGTTTGCATGTGTATGTGTGTATACTTCTATCTAGTGCAACATTTCTTGACAATTTAAAGATGGGTGGAATTCAGAATTCCCTAACTAGCATGTCTGACTGAGGAATTCTGGGAATTGAGGTCCACCCATCTTAAAATTGCAAGGTTGTACACAGGTCTAGTATGTATGTTTCTTACTGTTTTATTGTGGTAATAAAGCTTTAGAGTTGCATGAAATATAGTTTATATGAGCTATAACTTCCAAAACAATTTTGCAGTGTTTGGTTTCATGCTGCAAATTCACGAAATTATGCCAAAGTATCCCATTTCTCATTTCTACCCTTAAGCTGCTTGAGACATTATTCCATATTAAAGTAGAAATTCTGCATAAATCAGATCATTTAGTATAGTACCAAAGGTATGAAAAAAATTGTCAAAGAATAACAAAACACTGTGAAAGATAAATTCTATTTCTTCATTTTACTTTTCTAATAAAATCACATTAAATCGTTAGTGAATATTGTTTTAACCCATCAAGATGTCAAGGCTGTTGTCCTCTGTAAAGGGAATAGAAGCTGTAGCTGAGCACCATTTCTAAACACCATTGTCTGAGTTATTTATAGATAGATAGATATAAACATTTTAAAAAAATCTGTCTCTATAGAAACTGGTTGAAGGCTAGACTTTAGAATTTTCTGTTATAAAATTCACTTCTTTTGCATATCTGAGATATCTAAAATATATTTTGACATGATTGATTAGTTAGAAATTTTTTTTCATGTATAATTGCTGTCTTAAACAAACTAATTTAGAACTTTTATGAATATCAAAGCAATTTATTTCAAATTAAGAGCAGGTCAAGATTTTAGCCTTTAATTTTTCACAACGAATTCTCAAAAAATGTCATTCAATAACATGTCTTAATTTTTATGCACTAATATAACAAAATATTTTTCATTCCAATCTTGTTGAATTAATCTTGCTGACAGTAATTTTTACAAATATGCATATACTACTTTATTTCATGAAAGTTATCATTATTTTATATATTTATTGAATGTTGAAGATAAATACAAGAATTTCATAAGTCAAGGGTGATTTTTTATATAAATAATATCTAATCAGAATGGCTGCAAACATCAGTCAAAATTGTGAAAATAATCAACATTTGCAAAAATAAAAAAAATCCAAAATGAAGTTGAAATAATGGCTTTTGTTTTTTCAAGGTTGCAAAGGAAGCCATGGAAACTATTGGAATACATATTTGATTTTTAAAATCTGTTTGTTTATTTATCATACTTATTTGCTGCCCATCTTGTGGTTCAGGTGGGGTTTTTTTCTTTTTCTTTTTCAAGTTATCTTTCAATAATATCCAATATCAGTGTTTCATAGGAAAAAAATATATGCCACATCAGATGTATCTGAGCCACAATAACAATGCTGGAAGTTGTAATTCAACAACTAGATAGCCACATTTTTTATTCATGATTTAGATGTAAACCTTAGCTAGAGTGCTTTTTTACATGCAATATAACAAAATTACATGAGTCAGCATGTGCCCGGGTGAGGTAGAGAAGACCATTCCTGACAGAAACAATGCACTGCTCACTGTTCATTTGATACTTCAATAGTAAGCATGTCCTCTTTTTAAGTAAATATTGGATTTACCTTTACCTTTCCATAGATTATTTGTTATGAGTTGTAGCATGACTGATCTGTACTCTTTGTTATGAGGTAACATGAGTCCCACAGCAAATAGGCACATATTTAGTATATTTAAAGCTGTCCTAACTATGTAATTCACTCACAAAAATAAATCAATGGATCCCATATAATCTTGTTGCCAAAGTTTATTAATTAAACTAATAAATTAATAAATCAAAACTCAGTCTGAATACTTTTGGAAAATCTGACTATTCAGAAATATATAACCAAAGACGCAGAACGATTTTGAACTAAGTCACCTGTATGATAGTATAGCTGTTCTAGTCTGCAATTACAGCCATGTTATGGAGATCAATTTAAGTTGTAGATTGCAATTTTCACATAATAAACCATTTCATGAGAAATTACCCTCTCGGTAGTTTTATCAATACACTAATCATAAAACAACTGGATAAAATTGATATTATTGTCCTATTCTCAGAAAGATCTCAATATATGGTATATATTTACCAATATATGGTAAAATGTTATGGCTTTAAATGGAAATTAAGAAAATAATGAATATAAATCTTGTATATAAACTGATCTGTCTTCTATTGAAACTGACCTCACCTGCTCAATTTCCAGGAATCTTTTGCTTTAGGTCAGCAAAATGGAGCTCCGGTTAAAATTTCCCCTGTGGGTTTTGCAAATACTGTTTGAACTGCTTTTTGAAAAATCATTCAACAGTATGTTATATATTTCCAGGGCCTCATTTTAAATAGTACAAAATAGGACAAAAGGACCAAATAAACTGCTGAAATATGTTACTGAGTATTATTGAAGTAAATGAAGTAAGTTAGTATTATTTACACTTGATATACTAGAAATGGCATCAGGGTAAGTTCATATTGCAAACAATTAATGAAAGACACATTAGAAGAAAAGTGTAAAGTGATTCTAATGAATATGGATACAGACTAAACTCATTTCTTCACTCTAGGGATCACAATTTACATTCATTTCTGTATCTTTCCTAGCGATACAAGCAGAAATATAGACTTTTTAGTAAAACTTAATTAAACCATTTCCTTGTTCAATCAGAAAATACTAACTTGTTATTTTTAACATAGTACCATTATAAATTATTTATTGTTATATATAAGAATATTATTGATAAGCATTTTGACAAGGAGTTCTTTATTTTCAAAATGAATGTACATTAAAATAAAGCATACATTTTTATAGCTTTTTATAAAACCTATAAATTTTTCTGATTGATTTCTCATTATTTGGTTATTTCAACTGTGTATCTTGACAAATTATTGCATAAAAGCTTCTTAGCTCCTTCTATCATTATAAATTTCAATTTTATCAAAAAATGATATGCCATTTTTCACAATTTAATAAGACTATTTATAGACATAAGAAAGAAATATTTACCTCTCTTCCTACCTTCTGATACACACACAATATAAGTACTGGCACCATTAATATGAGGATGAGAACACACAGTTCAGTGAGTCTTCTTGGGATTTGGCTTCAAAAGTATTCTTTATAAGGCAAATATTTCATGTGGTTTCTTATGATATCTTGCTAGAGTTTTCCATTTCAAAAATATTTTGCCTTTTGTAGAATAAGCTACTTGTGTATGGTATTACCAAGAAAGTACTTTCATTTATATAAAAATAAACTTCCAATAAACGATTTCATTATGTGCTTGCTCATGACTGACATAAATTGCCTTTTATTTTTCCTATGTAAAAAAAAAACCTGTCAATTTTAAATGTTGTGACAGTATCAGTGATACTAAGACATACAGAACAATGGATTTCTTTTATTCTATAATTGAATAAAGGTATTTAGAATGCTTAGAATCATTCTCAATGGAATTATTAAAATGTGATAAATTGTTTTGATATTGCTTCATGATAATTATAGTTCTTTCATAATTAGGATATACAAATAAACTGAATCAGCTTGAAGTGAAGGGGAAAACACATTCAAATAGGTTTCAGAAAATTATATGTAAAGCTGTACTACTGTGCGGCCATCATTTTCATCTTCAGCCAGCCATCTGATAAAGAAAATATAAAGATATTTTATTGAAAGAGAAGGTACATTTGATCAGACTTTTCCATCCTAATTCCATTGATCATGCCAACTGGGAACTGTGGGAGTTGTAATATAACATAACTGGAAGGCACAGTTTAGGGAAGTTCCTACAGACATGAAAATCCATGGGGATTTGTGGATTTCATTTGCATTGAACGAACATGCTGGTGACCATCCCTCTGTTTCATAGCCTGAAGCTCAGACCTACTGATTCTCAATTTCCCTTGCAGCTGTGATTCCCCTTCTCCTTGGAATGGGAAAATATTTCCTGGTGTTTAATATTAGCAGTAGCAGTGGCACTTAGATTTATATACTGTCCCATACTGCTTTTATAGCACTCTCTGAGTTGTTTATGGAGTCAGCATATTTTCCCCAACAATCTGGGTCCTCATTTTACTGACCCCAGAAGATTGAGTCAACCTTCAGCTGGTCAGGATCAAAGTCCAAGCTGCAGGTAGAGTTAGCTTGCAATGCTGCATTCTAACCACTGTGCTACCAGCCATATTGGTTAGTTAATATTTCTGTTAAACATTGTAATAATAAACATTTGAACAAAGCAAAGCATACCTGTTACAGTTAAAGCTGTAGAGTTCATTTGTTGTAATTTCTACCTTTTCAAGAAACCAGCCACTTGCTGTTAAAATAATAATAATAATGAGAATAAAGATCTGACTGGCTTAAATCAGGCCATTTTCAAATGCCTGAATAAGGGCTGCAGCTACTATTCATGCAAACATAAAGTTACCCAAATTATTTCAGAAACAGGATCAGCTGGCTTAATTGAACAAGGAATGGCTACCACATGCTAAGCTCTGTCAACAAGGCTGTCTAGACTCAGTTTCCAAGTCAACTAAACAGTGACGAGACATTATTTTTACCCACCTGATGACAAAATATGTCATCTTTGACTCTTTATAGTATCATTAAACAGAATTATCCTATGAGAGAAATTCAGCTGAGTGATGACAGCTGGCAGGAAGTCAGCCAGAAGAAAGTCATAATTCACGATCATATGGGCTGCTCATTTAACAACCTGCACTGTCCTTGCTTAATGACAATTGGGACTGTTGAAGCTACTATTGCTAAATGCAATGGCCACATTTTGTTAAATACTATTTTTTTTTAAGGATATAAAGATAAAAAAAATGCAAACCAAGGATAATCCCAGAGTTGCCTTGTGGTAAGATGGACAGCTAATACATTTTACAAATAAATTAATAATATAAAAGGTAAAGAAGAAGAATATAAAGTGCAAATAAAAATAAAAAATAAAGTTATATAAAGAAATGATGACTCCTCCCTCCAGACAAATATAATCAACTTTTGTAACTTAACCCTTTCATTAGTACTTTAATAAAAAAATATTCCTATATTTCATCTCTTATAAATAGACAAATTGCAACATCTCATCATTCAGTCCAAATCAACAAAAGTCCATTAAAAGCTATCAGTAATAATAACAATGATTTTTTAGCATTGATTTAGCATTGATTTTTCAATGCCTTCAATTGGACACCAAGTACTCCTATTTTCTTTCTTAATCACCTTAGGAAATTGCTTATTACTGATTTTTTGGATGTTAAAACTTTTAGCAAGACAAGAATAGGTTGACTAGAGGAAACCAGAGAGAACTAAAGATTACAAGTAATAAAGAAGAGACCCATTATAACAATGGAGCAATATTGACTGTAGAAGAAATCAAGGATATTCATTCATTCAATTTTTATACTCAACCAAATGCTCTGGATCAATGTGTCCAGAAATCAGTCTTAAGATAGTTGGACTATAAAAACAGATTTTACAGAGGCTACAGAGGAACATATTTTACTAGACAAAATAGACTAAAGGTAATCTGCAAATGGATCAAAAAAATGCCAGACTATAAAACATATGGAAAAAGATGGATTAAAACAATGGATTTACAAACAAAACTGGATGATGTCTTAATAATTAAAGGAGACATGCAAATAATAAATCAGAAGAATGACTCGGAAAGCTTTTTTATCTTGTATGTACAAAAATATATATATTAAACTAGTGAAGGAGTTCCTGAGAGGAGACAAATAGAAAACGATAAGAAATCAGCTTGTGGGACATTATTAGAAAGGATTAAAGATCAAGCTTTCTAAAAGTAAACACAAAACCAAAGTAGATTTATTAGATATATCATAAATTATGAAGAGGATTTATTTGATATATGCGGTGTGTTTTCTCATCACGTTCCTTTTACTTATACCCACATTGCTTAACAACAGAGTGCAGTCCCAAAAAAGCATCATTAAATGAACGCTACCTGTATGGATATTTTATAGCAATAGCAATAGCAGTAGACTTATATACCGCTTCATAGGGCTTTCAGCCCTCTCTAAGCAGTTTACAGAGAGTCAGCATATTGCNTTTCATAAAAAAAATCACGAGGCACACCACCATTAGAAAATGTTAAAAAAATTTAACTCTGTGCCTATATTGACTATATATAAAGTAATTTTCCCACGGCACACCTTACACTATGTCACGGCACACTAGTGTGCCACGGCACAGTGGTTGAAAAACACTGCTCTATGGAATGGCATCTAGTAAAGTTATTGGACTTTTCTATGTGTTCTTCTTAAAACAAACACCAAGTTTTGCATTTTCGCTTAAGAAACTGGGGTGACATCTATGCCCCCTTAAGCTAAGGTAAGACTGAAACCAACCAATCTTAGAAGGCAAGGAGGATGCACTGCACACAATGCAATTCTCCATTGTGTGTTTCAGCTGTAAGTGACTCCATTAATAGTTCATTCTATCTGACTGCACATATAACCATTCACAGGGATTAGCTACCTTGGTAAGTCAGTTCATTCAAACGCATCAATTAAAAATTACAGGCTAATACACTCAGTTACAACTTATGCACTATTGCACCTAAGAGCAAGGTGAGATTTGCTGTGCCACATGACCACCACACTCCAATCTCTCAAGTTTTATCAATTATTTTAGGCCTTGATCCTGTAGGTGGCTAGAAGATAACAAGTTTTGAGTGGCCTAGGGCACTTCCCACCCATCAGAAGCACCAAACCCCACCCACCCCCATTTCTTCGTTGAAGCCCAGCTGTAGGTACTTCATAAAAGCTAGTTGGAGGCACTTGTGTCTTACCTCCAAATCTGCCCAAGCTGCAGGATGTGGATGAGAGACTGCATCAGCCAGATGCAGAAGGCGCAGGAGGCAGATCTGGTCTTGGGGGTTCGGATGCCGCTGCAGCCGCCACCTCCAGCTCCTCCACTGGTAGTGCTGGTCGCATTGGTGCTGCTGCTGTTACTGCTATTCGTTGCGTTGCCCTTGCTGGCATTGGATGCTTGCCTTTGTGGTGTGGCCGGCCGGGCCCCGGCATCCATATCCCCCGCGGCCGAGCCGCTGCTCACCAGCAGTTTGCTTTCGCCGTGCCCGGCGGAGGAGGAGGAGGCAGGAGCCACCGAGGCGCAGTCCTCGTTGCTGAAGTCGTGGACAAACCAGCGGAAGCTGAAAACCTGCACCGAGAGGGAACCGAGCAGCACGAAGAAAAGTGTGAGCCCAAACCACCAGCGCTGGCTTCGAAGATAGTAGTCGACCGCCAGCCAGAGGTCCGTGCCCACGTCGGCGAAGTACACTGCCACGGCGGCCAGAATCCAGAGTCCGTCCCACAACGAGTAGCGCCGCTGCTCCCTGCCTAGCCGCAGGCACAGCGACGACGAGCCTCCGCCCGAGCCCCGTGAGCCCCCGGCCGCCCTGCTTCCGCGGCCGCAGCAGCAGCAGCAGCGGCATCCACCGTTTCCAGCGCCGTGCCCTCGACTCCCGCCGCCGGACTTGCAGCAGCCGCCGCCGCCAGGAGACTCGTCATCCTCGGCGCTGCCGGGGCCCTCCGCGCCGGAGGAAAAGCCCGAGGCCAGCGCCTGCACCGAACCGGAATGCTCCGAATTCTGCAGTGGCGTGAACGCCACCTCGCTGCCCTTCTTCATCTTCAGCCGCCCCCCGTCCGACTTCGCGGCCATGATGCGGGTGGAAAGCGGCGGCGGCAGTGAAAGGGACCCAGTCCGGGAGCACCCTTTAACCCGCCCCCTCCTTCCCTCGGCGGACAATTCTCTCTCCCAGTTAGGTTTCCCAAAGAGCTTGTGGGGCTGGGCCACTGGCTCCTGCAGGCGCCGCTGGAGCGCCGCCTGCCTGCAGGGAGCCCCGCTCACCCACCCAGCCCCGGACAGAAGCGGCTTTGGGAGCAGTCTTTACACCGGCACATCGTTTTCTCCGCCTGGCCCGCCCCTCTGCCGCTGCCGCTGCCGCCGCTGCCGCCGCCACCCAGCTGACTGACGCCAGGAAAGAGGATGACCTCATCCCTCTCCCACATACATATAGACACGCGCGCGCACACACATACACACGGAATAGCCGTGGCGCCCAGAAAAAAAAGGGGGGGGGGCGTTTGTGTGTGTATGAAAGAGGCAGGAATCAGGAAGCGACGGTAGTTTGGGGGCGGTTGCGGTGAAATCGCACATGCAACAGGAAGAGGGGACCTGAGGAGGCATAGAGGAACTGCCGACCGGTTATTAGATTGCGGAGAGGCGTGTGGGTGTGGGTAGGTGGAGGGGAGTGAGGTCTGCCTTGAGGAGGAAAGGAGAGAAAGTCCCTGGTTTTGGTTAGAGAAAAGGGTCCACTCGCGGCCAGGCAAAGTCAGCAGTTATGGCTGGTATCTCAACAGACCTTCCAAGAAGGGTTGATTTGAGAGAATGCCTGGAACGGAAAAGACAGGGAGGAGGAGTAAGAGCAGGGATCTCTTAAACGGAGAAGGCCAAAGGCACCTAGAGACACCTTCACACCTGAAGGCACAAGCGCTCCAACTCCTGCCGGGAGAAGCTGCGCTCTCCTTTTCTCCGCGCCCTTCCACTCTTGAAATCGATCGCAGAGAAGCGGTAGCTGATCTGGGGGCGTTACCGAGGGCCCGTGGAGAACTCGGGGTGGTGGAAGGCGGGTGGGAAAGCTCAGACGAGGCCGAGCAGTTCCGAAGGTGAGCTGACAAAGCAGGGCTCTCTGGAAGTTGGCGCTCCCCTAGGGGCCACCCATGGACGCAAAGGAGGATGATTCCAGAGAACAGGTGCAGAGAAACGAGGCCTCTAGTGCGGGAATCGCTGGCGGCTTCCTGCCGTTGCCGGGCGAGGGAGAGAGGACGCAGACGTTTGCCTCATTAGCACGGCCTGCTTTGTCACCTCAGGGCACGGGGGCGGGGCGGGGGGAGAGTCGTTAGCAGCAGGTGGTGTAAGGGAGCGGAGAAGCGTTTCGCGTGGGGCGGGTGGCACCTCGGAGAGATCGCTTACCCTCCCCTATTCAGTTTATGTGTCACCAGGTAGAGGGAGGAGGGGCTGTGGCTAGAAGCCTTTTTATGCTCAGCATCTTCTCTGCGTTGGTTAAGTGTCAGAGGCTGGCATCGGCACTGGAATCAAGGTGGCTGGCATGGTTTCAGAAGGCTAGTATGGCCCGGAGTTGGATGGTCTTTTCCAGCATAGCTGGAAATGCCTTTGACATACCAGATGCCCTTGTTGTCTGCCACAAAGCCATGTGGCATCTTCATTGATTGGGAATGGGACATTAGTGTCACTGAAGTTGACTAGTACAGCTGAAAGTAAGGCCAGAGAAGATTACCTCCTCAGACACATTGCATTTGACAGTTATGTGTGGCACAGTTGAATCTGGAACCTTATTTTGGATGGACACTTGCCTAAGCTCAAGAGATGAGTCAGGTGGAAGTAAAGAGGAGTTTCTTCCCCACACTTGTGCTGTGATTTCATGGGACACAGAGAAGCAGGAGATCTTCCTCAGTCTTAAGAAAATCATGTAGGGCATATCATGACAGTTGACTCAACATGATGTGCTTCAGGCTGTGAGATTGTACAGAGCATGCCAGCATAATTTGCTCTCTCTACTGCTGCTGTAGCAAGGCCAGTCAGGGGTACTGTCCTAACAGTTTACTGAAAAGCAAGTTGATGTGGGGCAATTCCTGTAAGGAGGAGGAAGAAGAGGAGGAGGAGAAATCTGCCAATTGCTCCCTATAATATTTTCTGAATAGGAGGCACATCTTTATGTACTGTTTTTCTTGAGGTCTTGGTTGAGGATCAAGATTATTTATTAGAGGAAGGGAGAGACCTGGACTTTTCTTGGCCACTTACAGAAATCAGAGCTGCCTCATGTAATGGTTGTATTGCCAAAATTCAAGTTCCTTCTGTTGGGTGTTTTCTAGGGTACAGTTTTGTATGGCACCGTTTCTGGGGTCCTGTTAATCCAGTAGCATAAAACAAAATGGCCAAGGAGGAAACTTGGAGATGACTGGAGTCAGGAGAAGGCAGAAGTAAAAAAAAATTGCCAACAAGACCAGCTTCTATGACATCATTCCCATGTCTGCTGCCGAAGCTTTTGTGTTATGCAAATAGCAAAGCATATTCCAGATGAAGATAAAAAATCTTACCTCCATAGTAGATCAGGGGAAAAACCCAAAGTTAAATAGCCTTGGCTATGAGTGAGACGAAATCTGTTTCATGCAAATATGTTCTTAAATCATAATTAGAAACAATGTTGAAGCTAAAATTAGGTGAATGTGGACAAGATGTTATAATCACTAGTAAAGGTATGTCTTAATATGAATTTTCACAACTATGCAGAAGCTGTATGAAGCAATAAATATTAAACACAATGTTAACTATGGTCTTAGTTGAATGTCATGGAAATTGACTGATAATTGTGCAACAAAATATATGTTTAATTTCTTTTCCCTAAAGTTGTTTAAGATGATTAAACAACTAGCCTTTTTCAAAAATGTGGAGGCTATATTACACCAAAAATATTTTGCTATGGACACATTCTTGTTCCAAGGTCCTGCCTTTCTCATACACCAATAAAAACAGTGACATTTTTTTCTACTTAATCAAGAACCAGTTTGGTGGAGTGGTTAAGGTGCTGGCCTAGAAACTAGCAGACTGAGTTCTAATCCTGCTTTAGACATAAAAGCTAGCTGGGTTGTTGTTGAAGGAAAATAGGAAGAAGGAGTATTAAGTATATTCACTGTCTGAACTTACTGCTACTTATAAAATAATAAGTGCAAAATAGAAGTCAAATGAAATATTTGACTAATAAAAGGTTTGCTTCAATTTGGACAATTTCTTAGAGCTCCCATCAGCAATATGTATCAGGAAGAAGAGTAGAAAAATTCCAGTCAATACTTATTGAATGAAGTAACATATAAACAGTTTTTGGGGACAATACTGTTGCCTCTTGTGTGTGTGTATGTATGTGTGTTTACAATGAAGAGATACTGAATGTCATGTTTCTGACAGTGGAGTTGTCTGCCTGTTCACATTTTGATATTTGCTACTGGACTTACCAATACGACGTTACTCTCGCAATTGGTCTTATGAACAAGACATTCTTGAAAGCCACTATTGAAAAACAGAAATTGTAAAAATGATTTTCATCTGTAACCTTTTGACATAATGACCACCATAAATACCTAATAATTCTTCTCTTTTGTCCTTTGGCGATTGTGGGCCCCATCTCTACATATAGGGATGTTTAAAAAGGACAAAGTAAATTGTCCTTTTGAGTGCATTTTACTTTAGAAGCCATATTAGCATAACCATTAGCAGACCAATTAATCTCTTTCAAAACTTTCTCTTCACCTGTTCTTTTGTCTATGTATAAGTATGCACACATAAATGAACATAATACTATAATTTAGGATTTCATTTCCTTTAAATTCTTTTTTCTATCTAATAATTTGATCTTGCCATAACATAGTAGATCTCAACACTGAGGATGTTATCTAAGGCTCTCCCACAAAGGGGAAAAAATAGAAGTTTCTTAATTATTTTGTTGGATGGCTTGTTCTTTTAAGTATAAGGGGAGTGGAAATTTTTGGGGGGGATGATAGGTTTCTGATACCAAATAACTTGAATGATTTTGAATATCAAATCTATGTTGTAGTGCAGGGATGTTAAACTCAATTTTATTGAGGGCTGTGGTTGACCTCAGGAGGCCGGGTGAGTGTGGATGCCTGAGTGGGCATGACCAGCTTGATACCACTCACTAGGTGTGGCTGACTGGGTGGGCATAACCAGCTTTACGCCACTCCCCAAACTGCTGGCATGTTTCGTCTTTGCATTGGGTAGACCGGGCTGAAGGCACGCTGGCTTGATGTTACCTCTTTGCATTGGGTAGACTGGGCCGAAGTAACGCAGGTAGACCAGGCCAAGGTGACAAGGGCCAGCCCCTTACATTTTCCAGAATGGCCTCGCAGGTCGGATGAGACCAGTGGGTTGTGAATTTGACACCCCTGCTGTAGTGCAATTTATGACTGTTTAAAATTCTGCAAAATGTCTTCCCCTAGTGATGCAAGAATAATAAACTATGAATAGTTTTACTATATTAGAATTAGTATAATTACACTTCTCACTCTCAAAGGTGCTTTTTCAAGAGGAAACTGGACTTTCTGGTTTTTCTTTGAAGGCATTTCGCTTCTCATCCAAGAAGCTTCTTTAGCTCTGGAAACATCTTCAAAGAAAAAATGGAAAGTCCAGTTGCTTCTTGAAAAATTACTTTTTGGATTAACCAAGACCTGGATGACTGAGAATCTCCATAGATGTTTAGCTATGCACTTTGGGACGAACACCATTTGAATGGTGTAGGATATGAAAGGATTTCCAGAAAAATTGCAGACTACAGGAACCATTTACACTTTAGTTTGAGATGCAGACAGCACAGATTCATTCTCAACAGCTTGCCTCTGTGTTCAACAGTGAAGGGACACAGAACAGAGAACATCATGCAGAAAGCACTACTCCAACTTCTCAATGACAGAGCTGAAGAAGCTTCTTAGTTGAGAAGCGAAACATCTTTAAAAAATAACCCAGAAAATCCAGTTGCCTCTTGAAAAAAATATCTTTGGGATAATCATGACCTGGAGGACAGAATCTCCCTAGACATTTCTTATTCTCAAGCCATAACAGAGGTGCTGCTTCTCTGTTTAGTTTATAAATCATCTTTTTCTTAGTTAAGAAATAGAAACATTAATTTTCTAAAGTGATGATAAAAAATTTAAGAGAGGACCTAATGAATTTCCTTAATTTAGTAAAAAATGTATAAAGAAAGAAATTACCGTATGTCAGTAATACACTTTCTTCCCATAATACTGGTAATTCTATACTCAATGATTCTTGTAGTTAGCATGTTTTGTATTGAATCTGCTCTATGTTCTTCAAATTGAAAAAAGACCAAAACTTTAAAAAAAAATCAAAAACATAGCAGCTAGAATTATGAATTATTATACAATAATATTCAAAATTACTGTCTCCATGGAATCATTTCTATTCACATAAAATAGTGACTCTATGGTTTTAAACTTTCACATAATGATTACTGAGAACAAAATAAAAACCTTTTATTAAACAAGGAATTGCAAATATAGCCCACTTATTTTATGGTTGCTAAATTTCTCAATTAAGCTCATTAAAAGATACAATTGTGTACAAAATATTCTTATTTAATATAAAGCAAACATAGTTAGCATGTTTAGAAACTGTTTTAACACAGTCCTTTATATGTTTCTATCAACTTCAAAGTCCATGTGACACTTTGAGAAAAATATTTAAGCTATGTTTTAACAGTGAGTGGAGAACAGAGGAAAAGGAGAAAAAGGAAGAGAAAAAGGACAAGGGTTGGAAGCAAATAATAGGACAATGACATTAGAGTATAATTCCATATGTGTCTATTCAAAATAAAACATACTGCACTTTAGAGAGTCTGAAGACATCATGATAATATTCTACGTGAGGATCTGGCACAAGAAGACTTTTGAAACAATATAACAATACTTTGGAATAGTATTGTATATTGTAGTTGCATTCCATAAAACAAAATTATTAGTTAAAAATGCAGCAAATTGTTCCCAAAGATTTATTCTACTATTATGATCTAAAAGTTAGGATATTGATTACAATTATATAAATCCTTCCAAGTTTTTCTATGTGATCACAGAATCAAGAACTAAAAGTAATATTAATGATCTAGTCCAACCACTTCCTGATGAAGCTCCACTAGAGAGTAAGAATGTCTTTGTTCCATAGAGAACAGGTTAACTGTTTCTTAAAGAAAAAAATATTAATGAAAATTGAAGTTTTTCACACTTCTACCATGTATAGAAAGGAGAAAATTTTTATCTGAGTCATGACACAGAAAAACATTTTTTACAAATATAAAATATTTTAAGTTTCTCCTAATACAGAAGCAGCTAACTTACGTTTTTTTTTAAATTCAATACAAAACTATAGAAGTAATGTAACACAACATTTGGATGCTAGAATCCTATAAATAGGAGAGTTCTGAGAAGTCTATGAGATTCCGTGTTTGTTCCCACTCCACCTTTACTCCTCTGAAAATCCATTTAAAGAATTTGAACCCATTTAGATGCTGGATTGATTTAAAACATACATGTATAACAGTGGTGGGTTTCAAAAATTTTAGAACCTCTTCTGTAGGTGTGGCCTGCTTTGTGGGAGTNCCTATACCCACGTTGGGTGAAGAGGCGTCGAGTGAGTGAGTGAGATATAGATATAGATATAGATATAGATATAGATATAGATATAGATGTCTATATTTGTGCATTAGCTACTTAATTACTCCTTCAATTATCAGGTATATATATTTTCATCTAAAACTTGTAATATTTGATATGGCCAATTTTTAAAAAAAAGATATGTTTACCTGGGCAATATTACTTACCTTTCCTTTTTCAAAGGGATCTCGATGATCAAGAGAGGTTTTGAGTTGAATTAAATGAGATGTATCCATGTCTCCAAACAAAATGATATGAACATTGGCATCAGTTCCTGCCCCTCTTTTATCACCAGTGTACACTTTAATAATATGTTCTGTCAGATTTTCTGATCCGTTATCTTCCTTAGTAACCAAAGAGACAGGGATTTCTCTCCTTATTTCAGGTTTATCAATGTCCAGATGGAATGTTCTAGAAATAATTTTTAAGACAAGCCATGTACAGAATTTGATATGACATTTAATAAAGAAAAAAAACAAAGGTTTTTTTAAAATTCCTTTTCTTGAGATCCAATTCTGTCTTATGCACCTTTCTTATCTCTGGTAACCTCAAGATGTGCACACTTCAACCCAAGAATTGTTCAATCAGCACACCGACTGGAGAATATGAAATACAAATTGTTAAGGTTGAGAAATACTAGTGATTATAAACAAAGAGTTTATAATGAGTTCTAGTACCAACTTAGATAGAAAGCCAGCAAAAGACTGTGGGCCAGTTAGTCTCTTTCAGCTCTGGGATGAAGTTCTGAAAATGCTGCCAAGAGAACTGCAGGGCAATCATCAGGAATCAAAACAGACTTAAAGGCACACATTTTTTTAAAAAATGCCCATAATATAAAGAAGAGCATAATTAATGCTAATGTGATGTCTCTGAATGTACTTTCTGAATAGTAAAATCAAGTTCCTGACTTTCCCACTGTCACAGGTGTGAGTTTTGACAGGGTCTCCTGGCTGCGAACTATCGTTGCCACAGCTGTTAAGGATGGAACCATTTCTCTAACAGCCAACAGTGGACAGCAGAAGAAGGGATTAGATAGCTGCTGGAAGAAGGATAGTTTGTTTTACTCCTGCTGGTGAAACTTTTCCAAAAAAAACTCCCTGGCAGGTAAGCATTACATTTTTTCTAAGATTCAAATTACTCTGTTTGATGTGATTTTTATATATGCCTCCTATAAAAGATTTTAATTTTTTGTCTTCAGTTGAATTTACCTTTTTCCTCTACCGTTCTTGCCATATCTCTTTCAGAGTACAGCAGAGGTGGTATTCAGCAGGGTCTGATCAGTTCTGGAGAACCAGTAGCAGAGATTTTGAGTAGTTCGGAGAACCGGTAAATACCGCCTCTGACTAGCCCTGCCCCCATTGATTCTCTGCCTCCTGAGTCCCAGCTGAGCAGGAATAAATGGGGATTTTGCAGTAACCTTTCCTGGAGTGGGGTGGGAAAGGAGATTTTACAGTATCCTTCCCCTGCCATGCCCACCAAGCCACCTCCACCAAACCACAACCACAGAACCGGTAGTAAAAAAAATTGAATTCCACCACTGGAGTAGAGGTTGCTTTGATATGAACTGGAGCTTCAGAGGGTTGACTAGGCCTCATTTACAAGCCTTGGTTCTGAATCTTACAAGAACAAATGCCTTTTCTACTAATTACCACCTCACTGTATCTTTTGGACAAGCAACACCCCTTTTAAATTGCATACTTGCTCCCTATCAAATGGGTATGTGTGCAGTATGAAGTGATCTTAGGTTGTTTTTTTTTAAAGAAACATAGCAATGCAAATTAGAGTATTAACTTTTGTCAGGTAGTTTACTATGTGACAAAGAGAACCAAAGATCCCATCTCCTTTTCCTGCTAAGGACTATGGTATCGATACCCAATGAGGTTGTTTTTGGCATGCAAGGTAGAAAAATCCAAGGTATTCCCTCCTCCCTCCTTGGTGGTAAGTACATCATAATAACAAAGTAAAGTATTGATCAGCTTCCTTTTCTTAATACCCCAAATTTGCCCCTGGTGATTCATATACTCACTCATTCACTTCAAATATGTACACAGGCTCTTGTTTTAAATTTTCCTTTAAGTGCAAGGCTTTAATTGCCAATTTGCAGGCTGCATTAGAAGCAATAGATAATTAAAACATTTTTTCATGCCAACACTACTATCAAATTATATTAAGTATCAGTAAATAATAGCATTACAAGACTATTCCTTCTTAAATCTTAAGTAGTTGTACTTAAATCACAAACTAGAGAGCTTTTTTATTTAATATATCCACAGTGTCTGCAGCAATCATTATGATACCTACTGCAACTTCCCTAATTATTACAGATAGAGGGAGAGGTCTGTAGGACTTATTTTCAAATAAATGTCATTTAAAAAATACATTTCTTCCAAGTTCAGTGGCAGAACATGAGTCTGGGTTTCCAGAATGTTTGAGACTCAGTTCCTGGCATTTCTAAATTAAGCTCGGGGAACTGCTTGAAACTGTTAAAAATTGCTGTCTGTCACCATGAATTATATTGTTCTAGATGGAACAATGATCTTACTCAGCATAATGCTGTTTTCTATTTTTAAACTATTTAATGAAACCTCAAAGAAGTTATATTAGGTTATATAGTATATATTATACTATATACTACTGATATATATGCAGCATCAGTGTGAAACTGCAAGGTTCTCTTATCACTATTTTTGCAGTGAAAAAAACTTACATGATGTGCTTCCAATGAGAAGGACAATTTTGTACAATTTCCCCAAATCCACAGCATCTATGTGACCTGTAAACGACTAAACATATCAGAAATATTTCAATAAATCAGAAAATTATGATATATTCAGTGTGTTTGTTTGTGTGTGTGTGTGTGTGTGTGTGTGTAATCTGCTTGTCTCTGTCTGTCTATCTATCTATCTATCTATCTATCTATCTATCTATCTATCTATCTATCTATCTATCTATCTATCTATCTATCTATCACCTATCTCCAGTTTGATGAAGTGGCTAAGATGTCAAGTTAGATACCAGAGGACCATAAATCCTAGTCTTACTTTAGGCTCCAAGCCAACAAAGTGATTTTAAGCCAGTCGCTGTCTCTTATCCTTAGAAAGCAAGCAATAGAAACCATTTCAGAAAAACCTTGACAAGAAAACTGCAGGGACTACTACAGGCAGTCACCAGGAGTCAAATCTAATCTAAACTAATCTAATCTATAAATATAATGCACATTTGGAACTGAAATATGTTTTTATTCTGAATTTTCAGATAACAGTAAAAAACTGAATTACCTGCCCAATTTCTCCTTTCTCAATTGTAGATGATGGTGACAACAAAAGTCTTCGATCTTCAGTATCTCCATTGGTTCCATATACATACAGAGAGATAGGCACCATGCTTATTTTGCTCACAATATCACTGCAGAATATTTTTACATCATATGTAATCACTGTAAAATTAAAAAAAAAATGTCAAATCTGATGTAACAGATGGCATCATTCCATAATTCGTTACTTTAATTATCTTTCCTGCTATCTGCCAGTATGCAATATGATGCAATATTTTCTCTGCATGAATTCAGCATTAGTTAAGCGATATAACTAAAAGAACATAATGCACATTTTTATATTCCCAAAGTGCTTTTGCGCCTTTCTCTCCTTTTAGTACTGATGAAAGCATTGTTAAAGCAGATACTTCAGTCTATTTGATCCATTAATCCATCCAGATCTCTCATTTTGTCATCCCCACAGCCAAATATTGAACCAATCCCACAATCAAAGGAATTTGTATTCCAAACCTGAAGCACACTTTACTCAGTACATGAAAATCGCAATTATGCAAAAGATCATTTTAAAATTTGGAGGAATCAAAATATTGAGTAAAAAATAATGTTAGGTTCAGGGGTGGGTTCTGGCTTCTTCTACTACTGGGTCACTTAGAGACGTGATTCGGGCACATGCATGCTTTGATGCACACTACCCACACCTGTGCACTAGTTTAAAAAAATGCTTCTGCGCATTCTGAGCCAAGGTGGCGCAGTGGTTAAATGCAGCACTGCAGGCTACTGCTAGATCAGCAGGTCAGCGGTTCAAATCTCACCGGCTCAGGGTTGACTCAGCCTTCCATCCTTCCGAGGTGGGTAAAATGAGGACCCAGATTGTTGGGGGCAATATGCTGATTCTCTGTAAACCGCTTAGAGAGGCCTGAAAGGCCTATGAAGCGGTATATAAGTCTACTGCTATATATTGCTATTAGCAAAAAACAAGATGGTGGTGCTATAGGGACTGCCGATAGGATCGGTTCGGGGGCATGGCCAGTCCAGTTACTACCTACTCAGTCAAACTGGTACAAACCAGTAGGAACCCACCTCTAGTTAGGGTAGGTTTTTGGAGTAAATACTATGTCTAATGAATGAGTCAGATAACAGAGTAACAGAATCAATGCTTTAGTAGATTGGCATCAGGATTCAGGTCCTAACGGGTCAACTATAGTCAAGGCTCAGAGAAATTGCATTCCATTTTCTCTGTGACATCCTATTTTTGAAGATAAGTGAGATTCACAGGTTGTTTGACCCATTCCTTTTTATTATGGTAAAACAGGATACTTTTACTGTACTTCATAATCCCCTTCCCCCCAGTAATCTAACTATCCTGCTCACTCTTCTTTGAAGAAGCCCTTTTTGTCAAAACCTTTCTTAAAATATGACAACCAAAACTGGCCTCAATGTGCAGTTAACCAATTAATCCTCAAAATCTGGTTTAATGTAATTTGAAGGTGCATTTGTTTGTAGCAAGCACATTATTCTGCTATTCAATTAAAATATTTTTTAATAATAATAATTATTATTATTTTTAATAATAAAAGTATAGCCTTTACTGTCATTGTACAAAATAAATGCAACAACATTGGTTTTGATATTGTATCTAACTAGCAGATGTTGACCAATTGGAACAGGAAAGAATTCCTATAGAGGTAGTCCTCCACTTACCACTATAATTGAGCCCAAAATTTATGTTGCTAAGTGAAACATTTGTTAAATAAATTTGCACCATTTTATAACTTTTCTTGGTACTCTTGTTAAGTGAATCATTGCAATTGTTAAGTTAGTAACATGGTTGTTAAGTGAATCTGGCTTCCCCATTGACTTTGTTTGTCAGAAGGTTGCAAAAGATGAGCACAGGACCTTGGGAGAAGGCAACTGTTGTAAATATGAATTTGCATCTGAATTTTGATCATATGACCATGGGGCTGCTGCAATGGTCATAAGTGTGAGAACCATTGTAAATCATTTTTTCAGTGCCGTTGTAACTTTGAACAGTTACTAAATGAACTGCTGTAAGTCAAGGACTATCTGTAATCTAAATCCATCTAGCAAGAAGATCCTACTTTCTGCATACTCTAGCCAGGAACATAGAATGATTTTTTCATCCTTGTGATTACATCTATTTGGGGAAAGAAATAGGTTTGAAGTACTCTGCAAGGTAAGCAGATCTCAACCATATAGGGCTTTATATATCATTAGTAAAGTCATGAAAGGAACCCTTAAAGCCCCTGATAACTAATGAAGATCCTGGAGCATAGGGATAAGAGAACACTGCAAACCTTTGGAACAATTGTGTTATCATGTTCTGCACTACCTACAGAACAGTGAGTCCTCAGCTTACAACCAGGTGTAAAATCCAGCAGATTCTGACAGGTTCTGGAGAACCAGTAGTGGAAATTTTGAGTAGTTCGGAGAACTGGCAAATGCCACCTCCGGCTGACCCCAGAGTGGGGTGGGAATGGAGATTTTGCAGTATCCTTCCCCTGCCACGCCCACCAAGCCACACCTCATGCCCACAGAACCAGTAGTAAAAAAATTTAATTTCACCACTGCTTAAACTATTTTTTTAGTGACTATTTGAAATTAAAATGTCACCAAAAGAAACCTGACTTACAACTAGTACTCACACTTATACAACCATCACAGCATCGCCACAGTCACATGTTCACAATTCAGATGCTTGGCAACTGGCATGTATTTATGACAGTTGCAGCATTTCAGGGTTGTGTGATTGCCATTTCTCATCTTCCCAGCAACTTCTGACAAACAAAGTCAATGGAGGAGGAAGTGAGATTTGCTTAATGGATCTGCCAACAAGCATGGGGTTGGTTGGTGCCATTAGTTGCCTTTGTCAACTAATTTTTAACAGGGTTTAATTATTCCTGCCTCCTAATTTATTTATGTATTTTATTTTTTACAATTTTTATTTTTTAATTTTTGTAATTTTATACTTTTTATTAATTTTTAAAATCATTTGTATGTTTTTATATTTTTAAATTAAAAATATTCTTTTTTATTTTTTCATTTCATTTTTAATTTTTATTTTTTTTTAAATTAAAGTTTTAAATGTTAACTTTAACATTTAAATTGTTACGTTTTGACATTTTATTGTACATAGTCCAGAGTTGCTCTTTGAGAGCACTTCAAAAATGTGCAATGTAAATAAATAAATAATGGCTGCATGATTCACTTAACCACTGAAGCAATTTGCTCAACAACTATGACAGAAATATTGTAAAATCAGATGTGATTGACTTAACAGCCACCTTGCTTAGCAATGGACATTCTGATCCCAATTATGGTCTAAGTCCAGGATTTGCTTCAAAGGCACAACATAGAGTAAAGCTCAAGTCCAACCTGAAGGTAACCTGAACATGCCTGGCCATCATGAGACCACATGCTCAATTCTACACCCCATAGTTACCTGGAATGACATGGTAATAAATTGATCTAAGTTACTTAGACCATATATATATCACATAGATTAGTTCCATTTTATAATTATGATTATGTTTCTTTGCTATAAATACAAATTTTAGAATTAATCATGCAGAATTTTATTACATTTATTTTGATACAGTAATTCAGCCTGTTCAGAACCCTTTTATTCTGATTGTTTTATTAGTGCTGGTTCCTCTTTCTAGTTTTACATTTATTTGTATATTTCAAGTCTGAATGGAAGTAGAAATTTTAGTATATATATTCAGTATATATTTTACCACTAAAGTTAAATAAATCTATCCATTCTGTTTTACAGTCTCACAGTCCTTCACCAATAAGTATAAATCGACAGTATTGCAGCCACTCAACCAAATTGGCTCTCTGGTATTAATAATAATAAACTAAGTGGTTTCTTGAGAAAAGAACTCTTTGCCAACATCTGGACAATGTTTTTACTGTCTGTAGGAACTAAATAGCAGATGGCTGATTGGCTGGAAAAATGGAAACACACAGCTACAGTATATCGAGCTAATAAGCATTACAATGATAAATATACCAAGCAGTAAAATTCAGAAATCAACAGCTACAAAAGTATTAAGCTGATCTGGTCTCACTGAATTAGAAACAGAATTAGCTTGAATCAAGCACTCTAATTCAACTAGCTTATACAACTACTAATATTGCCGTGTCAGACAAATTTAATATTACTGGTGAAATACTAGAAAAAACCAAATATATTGTATTTTAACAAAGGATTCTTCTGATCCATGTATTAAATTATTTTGAGTCATTTTCAGTTCAGTTACATAAAATATTTAGCATTTAATTTAACATGACTAATGTAATTTAATAAAATATTTGAATTCAATGGCAATTATTTTCATTCTTCAGAAATACAAATTCATTTTTGCAAATAATATATATGCATACATTACTACTTTTTTCCCCAAAGCACTCACCAATGTTTACATCTAATACCCAGTTTCATAATTTAATATTACTTATACATTCACGATAAAAAAGCAACATGATAAGATTTTATAACTAGAATATGGCAAATATCCAGATTGTGATTTAGATCCATTTCTGTCATTATTTGATGGATATATGTTTTCACATGCATATCATTTCATATGAAATTCAGTAACAGTTGAATACATGTCTATACACTGTATCTCATTGTAGATATGATTTTAAAAATGTATGGGGAATAAGAAAAGACTGTACTATTAACAAGTTGGAATGTCTTCACATTGCTTTTATTACAATTATCAGTCTATATACAGTTGATGATAACTGGCTTTTTATCAGCATTTCATTGATTTGCAGTAACAATATGGACATAACATGGGATATGTCCTTATTTATTAAATGAAGTGAGAGCCTACTACAAACAACCTAGGGTGCCACCACCAAGAAGCCTTTTTTTTTCATGGACTTACCACATGTACTTCCCTAACATATTCTCCTTTTCTGTCCTGGTGGGCTGAATGGGTGCAATGGGGAACAGTTGTCTCCAACTAGACTGCCCCCAACCCATAGGGCATTAAAACCAATAATCAATACCTTGACTTGTACTCAGAAGCAGATTGGTAGGCAGGGCAGTTCCCACAAAAGAGGTGACACATACACAAGTCTAGGCTTGTAACAAACTGTGTGGTCATTGAATTCTGGTTCATCTGAATATTTTCTAGATATTATGACAGCACCACTACAAATAGTAGCAAGTACCAAAAATGGAGGTTGAGGACTGTTCCAGTCTTTCTTCACAAAAGTGAAGGGAATGCAACTCTCATATGGCTATGACATTAGACTATTGTATAAGTAATGTATAGAAACCAATATATCTTTCAAAAATACATCTTTTCATCTTATATCAGTAGAGTGTGCCCTAGACCTTTAAACTACAATATAATGGAAATAATTATACCTCTTTCTCCTCTCTAGTATGAGTGTCTGTCAGTCACCAGTTTCTCACACACAAACTAATCTAATGGAATGCTTAACTTTAAAATATTGACCTGAAAATAGTAATCTTTTTCAATATATAGAGGCATTGTCATTTTATGGTACAATTAATTAAAGGAAATTTAGATGGATCCCCTTGATAAGCATTTGGCCAAATGCCAATGGATACATACCAGAAAGGGCTTTCCTTAATGGCCATTCAATAGGGAACTCAAGCCACTGGTCTCTATTAAGAAGAGGAAATGTTTCATTTAATGAGAGACTAAAGGTATCCAGGGTTACAGTGTTCTGGATTTTGCAATGATGAAACAATTGCCATATGCTTTCTTCCAAGAGATGAACTCCAATTTTCACTTTATAAAGTGTTCCTAAATCAGATGGGAAATATACCTAAAAGAGAATAGCAGAATAAGTAGTTTTCCATTGTGATTAAAAGGCCATTAAATAATATTTTGAAACAACATTTTCTTAGGCATTGTCTATTCCTGCTGATCCCATAGGCTAAAATGGAGAGTTCAAAAAAATCTTATTTTCTAAGTCCACATCTTCTTTTTTTAAAAGCATGGATTGATAAATAAATAAAATGATGTGAAAATGCATTTTTTTTGATATTCATATGATAATATACATTAGTATTATCTTGTATTGACTGGTTTTTCTTAGATGTGTTCATTATAATACACCATTAAATCACATTTTATAAAATTATCAACCAAATCAAAAAGAGTAAAGAATTCAAGACTGAGTGGTTTTTTTGTTTTGCACAAAGCAAGATTCAAATAGACAGTAATCATAGCTCACCAGCCATAGGGTAGGAGATTGAAAGGAAAGAATGAGAGATAGTCACTGTTGTGAAATCACAAGATCCTGCATTGTGAGACAGTTGCTTCACTCTACCTTACCTAATTGTAAAACTAAGATGGAAAGATTTCTTTGTTAAATTGAAAAGCTACTGTGTATATGTTTTATCTCTATACAAATAATTTACACATTGATTTTACATCAAACATTAATTTGTCATCAGCTTGAATTCCTGTTTTGCTCATCAAAGAAATTGGTTCGGATTTGCCCCTGTTTCCATAGAACACCCAAATCAGTTTGGTAATGTTTTCTCCAAATTCTTCAAATGCTTTTGATGAATCTTCACGACATGTAGTGAAAGATATCTTCCATAGACCTTCTGAACAAATAAAAGAAAATAGCATTATGGAAAGAATGTTCAAATTGGTTGAATCTAGTTATCTATTAATCAGTAAATATGTTACATTAGAATGTTAGGAAAGATATTTTGCTATTTAACCATAATGATAAAAACTGATATTGCCAAAAATAGCAAATTATTTCTAAAATGAAATATTTATTTAAACAGTCTGAGGCTTCATGGATTGATGTTACATAAATACCTGATTTCATGTTTTGGCTTGATAACAATGAGGCAGTTGTGCTTCCCTTATCCAGTACTTCTAATTATAAAAAATATAAAAAGATAGATATTAATATTTCTTTGTAAAAGAATAGTAGACATTTCTGAACTTACATTCAAATATTTGATATTCATATTTTCCTTAGAGAATTGGAGAAAGTTTCGTGGAAGGTTAATGGAATCTGCTGTGGTTCTGACTCCATGCAGAACAAATATAGGTTTGCATCATCAGTTAAAGTAAAACCAATGCCATAAATTACTGTACTGTGTAGCTGGGGTCTTAATGGCTTAAATATGCTAATATATTGAAAAGTAGAACTGATTGAGTGCACCAAGCCATTTCTTTGGTCTTATACCAGGAAAGCAGGAATAGTTATTTTTATATAGAAGATTTTTTTTAACTTAAAATGAATCCTTTCAATGCCTCAAAGTGTCTAGGAATAAGAAACAGGAAAGAGAAGAATTGAGAGTGAAGATGAACAAGAGGAAAGAAAAGGCAAAAAAAAGCTGATTTGAATCATAATGTTTGATAAGCTCATACTTGGAGCTATTGATAGAATAAAGCTTAAGAATGTAATCAGCAAGATTTTTGCCATTGCATGCAGCTTCTCCTGTCTCTGGGTCCCTGAAATATGAAGGAATGGAAACATGGGGTTTTTTTGTTAAATAAGGGGCAATTCCCAGAATGCAACAAATATGATTGCATGGCTAACTTGGAATATATAAAACAAATGGAAACTTAAAAAAAAACTTTTAAAAAGTCTTTTTTGTTTTTCCGTAAGTATCTTACTAAAATTTTGAAAAACCAAAGGTACAAGAAAGAATGAAAATTTCCCATTGATAACAAATAATAGTTTATCAAACATATCAATATCTCTCCTGAGCAGTAACTATAATTGAGACTATTTCTTGATATTATAGCACTTCACCCAATGCTTTTTGAAGGCGTCACAAAGACAAAAATAGTTGATAACAGACACTTTCACAAATTTATGTTGTACTTGGTTGCAACTTGCAACATTTCATTAATATTCTACAATCTTATGGCTAAGTTGGTTTGTGCTGTTGCTGTCATAAGCAAATATTCTGCATAGTGTATTTTCTGTTATTTGAGCTTAGAATAAATGTTCTGCCATTCAGAAGGAGACTCTTTACAACGACTCTCAAATGAGAAATGTCTTAGATAACACTGACCGTTAGCATTCAGAGTTAGTGATGCATATTTTTTCTTTTCATTTGTGTCTCTCAGCCATGTCTGTGAAATAAAGAGTGTCTCTTTTCCTTCATATTGTGGTTCTTTCACCATAACCTTCTGGAGGTGCCAAGCAGAGCCTTTTCCTTTTTCCACAATAAGCTGACACAGAGTTCCAATATCTACTGCTTCTATGAGAAAAACATCCACCTAGAAGGACCACAGTCAGCATACCAAAGACTTAATAAACAGAAGAATGAGATTGATACAGCCACTATAAAACTGTCAAGCATATAAAAGCAACAGGAAAGTGAAGCTCAATGCTTTATTCTTATTTGACAACTATTAATCTGCATGCCAGCACCACCTTCCCTGATGTTCTAGAGGTGCTGCCAACCTTTAGATTACATTTGTAACAAAATTCTTCTCTGCATAGCTCTGAGACCCATTAATTCAGCTATATGAACAATTTCAAATCCATATAATGTATAAGCTTCCCCCCCTAAATCAGCACCATTGCAATCAGTTTGTGCAATCTACAATTGACAGCCCAATTGTTGCTAATGTGATTTAAAAGTGGACCACACTTAAAAATGAAATAATATATTTAGCATCAATTTATTATCTTCACCCCTTTTTGAAGATCTGGCCAGTTTAAATTCAAGTTTAAAACTTATCAGAGCATTCAGAGGAAAGATAGGATAGATGCCCATCTATTATTCCCTAACTACAATAGGGTATTGATAGGCAATCAGATTACCTGTTACTGAGGTGCAAAAATTCTGATAGATGTGTAATAATACAGCATACAGATATGCTGTGTTAATATTTGTGTCAGGGTTCCAAGTAACACTGGCAACAGAAATAAAACTCCAAGGCAAGCATGCTCCTCAAAGTTCCAGTTTATTAGAGATGTCATATTGGCACACCTGGGAAAACCCGAATCTAAAAGGGCCCCAGGTTTTCTCCACCCAAAGGAAAGCCAAAGTCCCTTCCCCTGCAACCACATGTCCATCACATGGTCCAATCAGGTCACCGTCCCAACTGGAATTGTTCCCTAGTCACGCCTCTCCAGGTGCAGGCTGAATATCCTTGACTCCCAGAGAAAAGAATGTTGTTATGGCTATACAACTCACCCTGTCTCCATCCAACCCCCCTCCCGTTTCCACAGCATACCCATCCACCAAGTCTGGCAGCCCTGAAGAGTCTTCAGGGATGTATTAACCATTAAGCAGACTAAACACGTGCTTAGAGACCCAGGCCCCAGGGGGCACCACAAAGTTGAGAAATGAAGATTTGTATAGTATGTACAAAGGAGGGGGGGACCAAGATTTGTCAGTGCTTAGGGCACCAGTGAGCTTTAATACACCACTGCTGAAGATCCAAAGTAAAAGATGGCCTCCAGGGCTGACTATTTGCTGTGATGTAACTTGAATTACTTATTCTATGTAAGTGGGTGAGATTATTGTGGCAGTATATGAATGAACTAAATAAATGAAATTAAATAAATTTTATATTTGAATGTTGTCATCAACAAATTTAACTAGGTTTAATATATCTGAGGCTCCAAAATTCCAAGCAACCATTAGATGGGTAGCAAGGAGATTCAAAACATTACACCATTTTAGTTGCATCAAATGATCATTAGGATTTTAGCAACAGTGATAGCCCTAAATTTAATAGTCGTAGAGAAAGCATTTCTCATTGACTCATTTTCAACTGAGTTCACCATGTGCTCAAGGCTTGGTTGGCCTGATGGGTCATATATGCTTTATGATCAACAGTTGGTGTTGGTTCTTCATTGGTTCTTCTTGACTTCTCACAAGGTTTCATTACTGTAAACTATGGTAGTTTTCCATATTTCCACAAAGATTTGGAAATAGGAGGCAGTAATATTCTTTCTATCTCTCAAATGGATTTCACATGGAATTTCTCTGAGTCTACTGGTTCTCAGAACAAGAGTGAAAATGTCGATCTAGAACTGGATGTTATCAGTATCAGACATCCCTGATCAGGATGCAATATGACTTCCTCAACTCTTCAGTCTAATTTGTCAGAAGTGTTACAGACATGGCTTGACTAAATTAGGATTAATTTATACACTATAAATGACCACCAAGTGTAATCCAAAGATATAAGTGATGTTTACATATTCTGAAGGGATTGAAACTTCTTTTTTCTATCCTTCCAAATTAACTATATTTGGTGCAGTGCTTGGTGGTCTTGAAGCCTAGCAGCTCTGTGTTTACATTGTCACCATGTCTAGCTAAAGGAAAGTAGTTCCTACTTCACCAGCTGCAATTCTTAAAACAGGGATATTGCTGACACCAAGATTTATTTCTCTATGACATCTTCAGGTAATTGTATGACACCTCTGAATGACTGCTTGCAGTGAGTAATGGACAAGGTAAAGGATTATTAATTGAAACAGATCACAGATAAAACAACAGTATTTGTTGTGAGGAGTAAATCTGCCTTCTCCAAATGGGAATATGCTCTTCCAGAAGGAATAAATAGCCAATTTGGGGAAGAATATAGGAATTATTTGTTCTAATCTTACAGACTGATACAAAAGGCAGGAAGGCCCTTTATTGATTGATTTGCCAAGCATAGACATTTTCTTAAAAGGCCTTTTATTAAATTATAATTTATAATATTATAATCCAAAGAATATGGGGTTTTTTTTTGTAATGTCTTCTGATATTTTTCCCGCAAGGCCATCTTCCTTGTTCCATCTCCATCGTCCATGCTACATCACATTCTCAATTAGCATTGTATTTACTATTATATATATCTCTAATTAGGACAAATATATATATATATATATATATATATATATATATATATA